TTTAATATATATTCAAAATCTTTTTTTTTTTTTTTAATCTTTTTTTTTTTTTAATCTTTTTTTTTTTTTAATCTTTTTTTTTTTTTAATCTGTTCTGTATTCAAACTGGTAAGCTTCTCCAAAAGCGAAACAGCATTTTTTGTTAATTTAGTTTCACTTTCTGGACTCATTTACTTACTAAAGCTCAGAGCTCCCGCCTGAAGTGCTTTCCTGTCAAATTCAAAGCGTTTCATATTTATATTGTTTATTTTTTGAGGTTTATATCTCTAACGCTAAAACCTGGTTGATTCTTTCGAACGCAACACTTTAGGATCTTTCCTGACTGAAGGATGAGTTCCTGTACATTCCTTCCCAAGAGCCAACACAAGATTTTCCACCAGGGAGGGATAGGGAAGAGGCGCAACAGCAGCGCTATTTTCCACCCACATTTTCAAACCCAAGCCGGTCCCAGGCCCCTCGTCTGCGGAGACAGGCAAGTCCTAGGGCTGCCTGAATTACCATCCTGCCCTCGCTCTCTCTCACCGTAGCGTTACGCAGCGCGTTACTTCCCTGACACAGCCCTCCTCCAGCATACCTAGCGCACCACCACGTAGCGGCAGTCATCTTCAGTTCCTCTAGGCAGATGGTTGATACCAGAGCTTCGGTGGCGATGCTGTGCTAAGGAGACTTCCTACCTTATCCCCTATATATTTCCTAAACTGTGGCAGGAACCATATTCAGGACACCACTCCTAGCTTAAATCGTTGAAAGGAGAATATTAATTTTTTTAAATGCGATCGTTTCCCGATCCAGAAGGCGGTACAGCCATGCAAATAGTTGTCTGCCCAATTCAAGGGCTGTGAGCGAACGTCAGCCGAGCCGACGTTGCTGCTGCCACCCCTGTGCCACTGAAACTCATCCCACAGGTGGATCAAAGCTTTCACAGCCCCTTTATGCCGCTCCTACCCCTTAACCTGAAATAAAGCAGCCAAAATAGGACAAAGAATTCATCTTAGCTTTTCTTCAAAAAAGCAAAACGCTGAAAGGTAAAAAAACCCTCTTCCTTTCTCAGCAAAATATCAAGACCAACACGTAATAAAAGCCTTACCCGTTGGAACAACGTCCATAAAGTAAAAAACAAAACCCGCCTGACCTCCATACCCCACTGACTTTTTATTGCTCTCTGCAGCACGAATCCCCTACAACTCTCAACGCTATCACTGCTGTAACGTCAATGTAAGTACGTGACAATACAGAATAGGAAGTAATTCAGCGTACTGCCTGTGGCTCTTTAGCAATATGGCGAACTTCAGCTCCCACCAGAAGAGAGCTAGCGTGAATATTTCACAATAATGCTGCGTTTAATTAACAAAACTCATAAGCAATCGGTGAAACTTGAGACAAAGATCCTGAATACTGCGATGCCTAAATCAGCACGTGCCCCAAAACGTCTCTCCAACTTTACAGATGACAGGAATTTAATAGCCACATTTTTTTCAGCCAAGAAATTACTCAGGGATCAGACCTGTGATTCTCTGCCGTTCAAGATACAAAAAAAAAAAAAACAAACCACCCAGACAGGCAGATTCTTTTAACTTCTAAGATTAAATTAGTGCATTTCATAGCAATTACAGGAAGAATGCTTCATTACGGTTTTCATTTGGGAGGGAAAGATAAAATTAAATTTAAGTAAAAATTCACACATACTCAGGAATTTCAAGGGAAGAGGGAAGAAATCTCATCTGTAAAAGAGTCTAATCCTGGTACCTCAAGACTCCCCCCCTTCTGGCTATATGAAATGCCTGTCCCCACAGAAGAGATTTTTTTTTTTTTTTAATAGCATACCTTTCAAATAAGCATTTCCAATTAATTTGTCAACATTGTTCAAGCAGCAAACTACCTTAAGATTGGAATCTTCGGATAATTTGAAGAAAACTTAATGAAATATCTATTCATCTGTCCTAACTTGCCTCCTAAGAAGCAAAAAGAGCTGCTCTACCAGATCCTATCGGGACGGACAAACCCACACCTCAATAATCAAACACGTATCTCGCTCTGCCTCCCACAGAAGAAAAGAGGTCAATAAGCCTTTCCCCATTTCCTGCAACTCCCCTCCATAGTCCTTCTCCCTCTTCCAGGAGAAGGGTCTCCCCCCCAGGAGACTGGAAGGGCTGCCCATCTATCCATAAAGGCAATTCCCCTTTGTCTTAACGACTACGAACAGATATTTAAAGAAAAATAAATATACGTTTTATCCTCCAGCAACGGTGCTCCGATGAAAGCACAGGAGAAACGACGCTTTCAGGCTGGGACAGAGACGGTGGGAGCTGGCGAGAAGCGCATCCCCCTCCCCTCCCCCCCGGAGGGATTACACCCCCCATACCACAGCAGGACCACCCCACTTTCCACCCCACCCCCCCTTCCCCCGAGCTGAACCCCGTCCCACGGGAGGCACAGGCCCTGCTCCC